TTGGGAAACTATTTCTTCTCTTCCAACCTAACTCAATATTAAAAATTATAAACCCACATTTTTACAGAGAAACAAGACTTTCCTTTCTTCTTTCTTTCTTTTTTTTTCCCACTTTGAAAAGTGGGCAACTGACCAACTTTGAGCTGATCTGGCTCCTAGATTTTTGTTTGTTGTGGTAGAATTTGTTCAAACACAGACAAAATCTTATAGCAGAGCCATTCAATTATTCCCAGGATTTTTTAAAAACTGGACCTAAAATAACGTAGTTTTTCCCTTTTTATGATTTATTCATTCAGCAAAATTTTATCACTTCTTTCTTCAAATGCCTGTACTTACAGGAATTCTCAAGGCTTTTGCTGAACTGGTTCTCTCTTTCTCTCTGTTTCTGACCCCCTTCCCTTCTGCTTCTACTCCCAGCTTTCTCCCCACTTCATTCAACCAAAGTAGTCTAACTGCAACATTGGGGCCTTTGCACTTGCTGTGTGCTCTCAACCCCCACCCCCATATACACACAGTTCACCCCCTCATCTTCAAGTTTTAGTTTAGAACTAGAAACCAATTTCCAAAACAACATTATTGTTATTATTTTTCACTATCCTTCCCTAGAACTGATCACCTATAAGCATACTAAAAAAATTACTTTTATGTTATAATTGCTGTTTGCTTTCTTCCTTGCAAATCCTCCTGTAATGTCCATTGTAAAAATGAAAGGGTCTTGCATATACACCAGATATTTAGAATAATGCTTGGCACATAGTAAACAGACACAATTCAGTCATTCAATTCATCCAACCAATATTTGAATGTTACTATGTGCCAGGTAGTTAAGAAAACAGATCAAGTCTCTGTTCTTATGGAACTTACATACTAGTCTAGAATATGGACAACAACCAATAAATGTAATGCCCAAAATTGGTAAGTACTTGGAAGAAATCAGTGCAGAAAGGGAATAGAGAATGACAGGGATATCATTTTAGATAGGGCAGTCAGGTCTTTAAGGTGTTGGTATTTGAACAGCCTTTAAAAAGTAAAAGGTTAAGGTTTAAAGATATAGATTCTACAGCCAGATGCTAGGGCTTGAATCTCACCATGCTATTAGTTAACTATGTGATAGTAAGATACCTTTCCATGAATTAGTTATAATGGGGAATAAAAATAACATCTTCCTTAGAGATTTAATGTTAAATTTTAAATGAATTAATTTAAAGTCCATAGAAGACTTCCTGATTGTAATGAATAGGCTTAGCTATTATTGTTGTCATCTTGGGGGTGGATAATTGTAGTAGGGGATTGGCAATGATAAGATGCTTGGAAAATTCAAAGAAGAGCAAGGGGACCAGTGTAACTGGCTAGATGAGTCAGCGGAAGGGTGGAAGGAAATGAGATCTGAGAAATAAATCCTGTGGTCAACCAATATTCATGAAGTTGTAGGGAAGAACTCCAGAAGTCCAAACCACCCTGTTCCTACTGAATTAAAAGAGATATTCTTCTGTTGGAGAGGACAATATTTTTTATATGCTAATAGAAGTAGGAAGGAGAGATTGGCAGAAATTTTAATGATTCTTGAATTGCTGGGATTCCAGATATGCTTTGGTTTTTGTCCTTCCTAAGAGTTTCCAATCCTCTTTCCATGCTGGGAACATCCAAGGTAATTCCAGCAAATCCACCTTTTACATTTTAGTGGGATGAGAGGGTAGTTTTAAGTTTTCTAAATTTGGCCTGTATCATCTCTAACCAGTAGTGTCAGAATAGTACACCTCATGGTAACCACATGAAATAGGTACTACAATCAGTTTGCTTGCCCTTAAAAACAGGGAAAAAGGAAACCAACAAGAATTCAAATTTTAAAATATCCCAATTTTTACTAAGTGGATTATACAGGGAAATGAACTCAGAATAGCTTCTTTGTCATTTCTCATATATTAATCTGTTCTTGGCTTAAGAGCAGACTGTGCCAGACTGCCCAGTTCTGACCTGGGCTCTTCCACTTAAAATTGTTCTTTGTCACAAATAATTTCTTCATTACAAAAATAACCTAATAAGAGTACATATCTTAAAGGGGTTGTTGCAATATTTAAAAGTATTAACACATATAGAGCACCTAGAACACTATCCAGCATATGATAAACACAATAAAATTCTCCTTCTTGTTGTTGTTGTCATTACAGAATAATGGCTGGGTCAGGCTTCCATACTGGAGTGTTCTAGATTCTTGGGCTTTTATTTTTGAGATTGGATATGAATCAACTTCATCATTTCTTCCATAGTTAGGTAGTATCAAATTCACTGCAGATCTACTAGTGAAAAAATTCCAGCTCTCCTTTTACTAGTCAGTTACACTTTTCCTAGGCTCAGTCTTTAGCTCTTCTCACATCACTTAACATTCCCTCTTTGGACAGTTTCACCAGCCCCCAGTGTCAATTATCCAGTCTCTTCAGATAAACATGTAAATCAAGTAGTATTACTGTATTAGTTTCCTATCGTTTCAGAATAAATTGCCTCAAACTTAATGGCTTAAGACAATAGAGATTTTTATCTTATAGTTCTGGAAATCAGAGCTCAAAAATGGGTTGACAGACCTGTGTTCCTTCCAACTACTCCATGGGAGACTTTGTTCCTTGCCCTTCCAGCTCCAGAGGCCACCTGCTTTCCTTGGCTCATAGCCCCTTCCCCCACTTTCAAAGCCAGCAGTGTCACATCTTCATATTCTCCCAACCCCAACCCTCACATTTCTGCTTGCTTCCAGAATCATGTCTCCATCTTTCTTTCTTTTGTAATTACTTTGGGCACAATGAGAAAATCTAGGAAATTTTTCCATATCAAGATTTAATCACACTTGCAATTCCTTTGTCTTATAAAGGGGAAAATCTGCCTAGATTCAAATTCTGACTTTATTTAACTAATCATTATTCAAGTTCTATTAGCAATGATACATCTCAAATCTTCATATAGGGATATAGTGGTATCTACTTAATAATACCTTTTGAGAACTAAATAAGATAATTCATGTGAGTTCTTAATAAAAGTTAGTTAGTTCCCTCTTCACCTATATCAGTCAAGACAGATTGGGTTTGCTGCAGTAACAAACAAACCTAAAGCTTCAGTGGTTTATAGTGACAGAGGTTTCTTTGTCTTTCACACATCTCTTCTAGGTCAACAGGCTCTCTGTAGGCAATCTGGAACCAGGATAAAAGAGGAGCCACTTTCTCAAATCTTGCCATTCACAAAGATGGAAAAAAAAAAGAGAGAGAGGGGCAGGGGTGGGGGGGGGAACCCTCCTGGCAGTCACACGTTGGCCGAAAACACTCAGGCAAGAAATAACACAGCTCACTTCTACATACAACTTATTGTTACAAATTAAACACATGACTTCACCCAACCATAGGACAGAAAGTTCACTCAGTATTTCTAGAAAAAGGACAATTCTGGAATTCTTTTACTCATAGAACTAATGTCACCTATATCTCCAGGTTTAACCTTGGACCTTATTTACTTTTGATATTGCTTTTATACCTCAATCATGTTTTCCCTTTAGCTGCCATTTCTGCAGCTATGCCTCAAATGATATTTTGCTTGAACCATTGGAGTAATTTTACTGGTTTCATTACTTCTATTTTCCCATATTTTTAATTAATTCTTCAAAATGATAAAAATATGATTCCAATAGAGTCAGTTTGTCCTCCAAAAAACTTGATAAAAAAGAAGTTTCAATTAATAGTTAACAGCCTTTGATCTAAAGCATGCATATCTAGATTCACAGATATGCTATAAACACAATATGTGAACTTGGGTTATGAAACCAGTCCATGCACCTGTCAATAAATTATATATATAAACACATTATATATATATATATATATATATATATATATATATATAAACACATTTTCTTTATCCATATATTCCTTTTTCCATTTATATATAAAGGAATATATATATATATATATATATATATATATATATATATATATATATATATATATACACACACACATACACACCCCCAGTGGAATTTTAATCAGCCATGAAGAAGAATAAAATTATGGCATTTGTGGGTAATTGGATAGAAGTAAAGAACATCATGCTAAGTGAAATAAGCTAGATTCAGAATGTCAAGGGTCAAATGTTTTCTCTCATATGTGGAAGCTAAAGCAAAATAAAGGGAAATGGTGGTGGTGGTGGTGGTGATAAAGGAGAAGCTCATGGAAATAGAAGGGAGATCAGTGAAATAGAGAAAGGGGAATCAGGGGGAAGGAGAAAGGATTGGAAAAGGAAGGAACCATGGAATGAAACTGACTAAATTATGCTATGTATATATCACAGTGAATTTCACCTTTTCTGCTTACGTACAAAGCATTAATTTTTTAAAAAAAATTATAAATAAATAGAAGGAAGACCAATAGAGTAGAGGTTGCAGAACAGGAGGGGGGCAGGGAAAGAGGAAATATTAGGGACAAAAGTGGATCAAATTATATTCCATGCATACATAAGATTATGTCAAAATGAACCCCAACATTATGCACTAATAAAAAAGATATGAACTTGGGAATATTACTTAAATTTTTAAGCTTCAGCATAGTTTTGAGGATTAGGTAAAATAATATTTGTTAACTGCATATTTACTCACTATAAAACTTGATATTACTGTAGTCCAATAAACATTAGCTCTCAGTTTTCCACTACCTAAAGAAGTACAGGTTTTTTTAGCATGACCCTGGAGCCTTTCATGGTCTGAGATCTTAACTGTTCTTCTTTTTTTCCCCTCTATTTCACTTCCACCATGAACTTTACTTTGTAGCTCTACCATCTGAACTTCCATAAATACAGCATAAACCCTTCTGCTCTATGCCTTTTCACAGACTGAACCAACAACCATAAATTCCCACTGTCTCCTTGACCTGTAGAAAGTACCCCCACAGTCCAAAGCCTCAAAGCTAATCTCAAACACCAGACTTCTCCATGATACCTTCAATGATAACTAGTCAGAATGAAACACTTACCTCTTTCCTTTGTAAACTTATTGTATCCCTCATCTGAATGAAATGCCTGGTATTGCGGTCTTCTTTTATTTTTGCATCCCTATCAGATTCTAAGGCTTTTGATTCATTTTGCATGGATGCAGGTGTTCATTATGTATGGCAGCAGGTGTTCCTGTGGAATAAGAATGGTGTACATATTAATTAACAAAAAAGATACAGGCCGGCCAGCCCCCTGGACTATCTTTCCTGTGGTACCTTACACATGAGGATCTGTCCAATAGAACTATTTTCTTATATGAAGCAGACTGAGACACTCTACATCATTCTTGACTCTCTTCTCTGGCTTCTCTCAGGTTCTACATATCTTGTTTAAATTGCATTAGCCAGTTGAAAACATGAGGCTTTAATAAAAGCTTTACAAATGCTAAGGACTGTGTAATGTTTAACTCATGTTGTGTATATGTCCCAGAATCAAGCTTTGCTTCTTGAACAGCAGGACTATATTGTGGCTGTGTTTTGCTATATGTTAAAATATGTCTTGGGGAAGAACCAGATTCTCAGCCTGTACAACTATAAACATTTTCTCCAAATTGCCTACAATGCAATCCACCCCACAAAAAATATATACAAAAACAAAGCTTTGAAGCAAGGTATTTTCCCAACTTGAAATGGAATAAAATATAAACTACCTAGCAACACTCCAGCACTTCATTTTTAATTAGCCAATGAAATGTGCCAAGAAAATTTATTTCCTAGTCCCAAGTGATATCTTCTCTGTGAAGTCTTACCTGTTCACCTCAGTGTTCCTGGCAGAAAATTTGACTTGATCATTTGCATTCCCAAGAGAAGAAACTAGGAAGGTATGGAGAAAGGTCTCCATCTCAGGAGTCTGACAATCCCTGGTTACAATGATGCTTTTGTCACTTAATAAGGTACATCTTAGCCATGTAATGTCACCTCTCTGAGCTTTAATTGTCTCATTGGTAAAATAGAAGTAATAATATATATTTCATAAGGTGGTTGTGAAGATTAGCAAGGTGGTGAGTATTAGGTACTTAGCAGATGTGTGACATTTAGAATCACTAGGCATATGATGGTTATTAGCTCCTATAGTTCTCTCTGTATCTGCCTGCCTTGTTAGACCATGAGCCCTTTGAGAACAGTGACAATTTTCTGAGAATGGTGATTATTTCGGTCACTGCCTAGCATGGTGCTCAGAAAATATTTGTTTACTGGATAATTTATAAACCCTAGCTGTTTGTGAGTCTTGCAGGCTTTCTTTGACATCCATTATCTACCTGCCAGTGAGTTCTTCTGATTTCACTGCCTGTCACTTCTCATTGAATGGTGACCCGAAGCTGGAATCTAGTAAATGGACTGTTATTTGAATTGGTGTTAGAGGATTAAGGATTTAAATACGGTAAACGAGATATGGATTGAGGATCCTCTGCTAACGAAATACATTTTATATTCAACTGGGAAGCAATGATATCAAATCAAAAAATTTCAGCAATGACCTCAGAATGCCCTTTAAAATGAAAGTACATTTATCTTGTTCTTTGAATTTTCTCTGCATGTGGGTATGTGTAAATATTCCCAAATAAAGAACTTGCTAAGGAGTGATGTTTGTTTTTTGTTTTTTGTATTTTTTTTCTGTGAATAAATGTGTATACTCTTTGGGGGAACATGAATAAAGAAATATTAGAAGTAATAGTAATATCGGACTAAATTCAAACTTAAAAGGTGCAAGGTCTCCATTTTATAGTCAATATAATTTAAAGGGACAAACCCCAGTTTGGGTATTCTTGTCTTATAATCAATAAATGCCTCTTTCCCTTATTAGGCTATGTCAGTTGACACGGGCAGTCAACCATTGTCAACAACCAATTTGCTCTATCAGTGAAGCAAATCATTACTAAACACATGGTGCTACTGCTGCAGTTTTTCATTCTATCTTGAGCATGAAGTAGAAAAGAAAAAAATAATAAAGTTTTTTTTTTCTTTTTACTTCAGAAAATAAAAACCTGTAAGATATAAGAAGAGTGGATATCCAGGCTAACAAAAGAGCTTTGTTCTTTTCCTAAAACCAAAGGGAATTATCTACTGATAGTATACACTGTCTCCAATCATGCCTTTGAAAACCCACTCATTAAATGCAAAGGCCAAATAGATATGGGAGAGTTATCACCCTGGCAAATACAGCAAGCAGAAACAGAAAGGGTTGACACAGCCAATTTAAAAGAAGGAAAGGAAATAGAAGATAATTTTACTTCAATGCCAGTTAGTGAGAATCAAGAGGCTTGAGGAAAAACTGAAAAGACTGGGAATCTTTCCCCCTTCCCTCATATAATCCGTGTAAAGCAGTGCTGGCCTCATTGGATCTATTCAATAAATATTGGCTAATCATCGTATCCAGTGACAGAAACCTAAAGTTTCCAGCTACTGGAAATATATTCTCAAGCGCAGAAGGGCTTTTAACTAAGGCCAGAAAGACTTTGGGGGCACCCGAGGCATAGAATACAGCTGCTTGGAGACCACACAGATTTTTCAAGCCATCTTACTTATTAGTTATCTACCACGGCAAAGCTTACAAAAACAGAGCCGAGCCCGGAAGACAGTCAGCTAAGGGAAAGACTGGCTGGCTCTTTGCCTTCCTAGATGGAAGGGTTCTTTTTTAGCACAAGAACTTTCTGGGTCTGTAGGGCAGGGGATCTCCCAGCTGTCAAAACTCTCTCTTTACTTACCCGGTTAAATGCCAAACCAGAACTGTCTGTCAGGAGCTGCTGCTTGCTGCAGTGTAGCTCACATTTAATCCTCATTGCCTAGGCCTGGGCCATTCTGGAAAGAACCTATTTCTACAGGTCACTGTGGACCAGCTTCAAATTCAGGTAGTGTTCTGAGAACCTAAGGAGCAACAGGTGCAAGGGAGAGTGAACAGCCCTTTGGGTGAAGCTGAAAAAGCTGCAGAGACAAGGGTCAGGAGACAGGAAAAAGCTTTGCTATTTTTAACGTGTTTGCACTGGCATCGAAAAGAAGATTTTTCTTCTTGGAAGACAGACCCAGGAGCAACCTTTGCTACTATGGGAACAGCTGTAGCAGCTCTTTGGGGATGGCTAAATTCCAGGATTCCGGGTTGGCAATCTGAGAAACCTCTCTAGCTTTTGGCCCTGAATTGATCATCACACAAAACTGAATGTTTAACTGGAATAAATAGCACTTCAGGGTCTGTTGTTTCAGGTGCAACTTATCCCTACTAAGTTTAAAGATACAAGAACAACTACCATACTTTTGGGGTTTTTTTTCATAACCAAAAGCAATACAAACACAGATTTTTAAAATCCTTATGGAGATTTTCATCTCAATGCTCTGGGACTTGGGGATTTACACATATAATTCCCATTAACACTAATAGGAGTTAGAGTATGCACACCAATTCCCTTGTGTCAAAATGAGAACATAACCATATGGATACTAATAAATACATTTTTAATTCTGATTTTATGCAGATTTAACATAATATTTTATACAACACTTAGCAAACTCTTTGGAGACAAAGATTGTCTCAATTAATTCTCCCCAACAAAGACATATACTCATACAGACTCCTGCTATTTCTACAATATTGATTTCTTTTGTATAGAAGAAAAGGTTTAACTAAACTATTGGTTGTAGTTTAAATCTATGCAGTGTTACGATTTTTCAAGTGAAAAATGTTCTTTGTTTGCAAACATATCTTCTTTACACGTAAAAACCTCATGACCCCTCAGAGTTTTTTTTTTGTTGTTGTTGTTTTTTTTTTTTTTTTTTTTCAGGTAACATTTTAAAATTGATAGTTGTGACTCAAGCTTTATACAGTGCTTTAGTGCCACCTCCTGGGCAAATCCTTAAAAGCACGAGATGCAGAAATTGATTGAATTTATCTTTTTCAGGCCAAGAAACAATTAGCTGAAAATTCCACTAATGTTCACAATAAAAGCAAGGAAAAATATTTTAAAAAATAGAGAAGAGGAAGAAAACGGAACTGACCAAAGGAAAAGAAAGTTTCTCTTTTTTCTTTAAAATAAGGGTGAAGAGAAGAGAAATGAAAGGGATCAACCACAGCAAGAAGGAATATGGCTATAGTTGATGTAAATATACCTTTTGTGACTGTCATACTTATAATTCAGTGGGTTTTTTTCTGTTGTGGAAATATTTTTAGTGAAAATGCCGAGATGATAAAAAGTGATAAATTTACTGTGTATAACTGAAAATAAAATTAATTATTTAAGATGAACTACCTCAAAAATCATGAAAACATAAATATCCAAGGTCATATTCTTTGGAATTCACTAAAAGGAGATCCAATACAAGTAACAGGAGATTGTGCAATTTAAATAGATTTAAATAATAATAGGATTGACTTTTTAGAAATGAAATTCCCTCACAGAAACAATCAAAACAGCACATATGGTGTTTGAGAAAGAAAATTAAATTTTAAAAATTTAATTACCTTGAGCTCAGTATAGAATAAAATGCTCAGACACAATCCTCAGCAGAAGCAAGTGTTGATATATCTGAATTTAGCAACACAGCTTCTAACAAAGTGCATGGAGTCTCTGAAGGCATGATGTCTGAAAGGCCAGGGCTTCAGTGAGCACTCTGCAGTACCCAACATGCAGCTCAGCATCAGGTCTTCCAGCCTGGGCTCAAGATACTGTCTCCTTAGAGAAGGAAGGACAGAATCCCTCCTCATCCACAGATTCCACCTAAAGAAACAGTCCCTTGTCAATACAGCTCTGTGTTTACTGAATTTGAGTGTAAAGACCTGTCACATATGATTTTAAAAATAAATGGGAGCCACTGAGCTTCATGACACTAGGCTTAAAGATAAATGTGGAAAAGAGAATTTGAATTTTTAAAAATTCCATTGTAATCAGTAACAGGCTTATTAGAATGCTTTTTATTTTTATTTTGTTGGTACCAGAGAGAGGAAATTTGAGAAGAAATGTTTGAAACATACAGAGCATACAGCATAGTTTTGTCTTTTTCGTAAGCCAACAACCTTGAAAAGACAGTCACTAAGCAAACCAGAACTTAGAAACAGAACATTTTTTGAGTTACATCATTGATTGTTTTACCATCTTATCTTAATGTTCTATAGAATCATTTCACACATATGTGCACAAACATATGCACAAAGACACACACAAAAGAATCTTTCCATTCAATCAATTTAAAGCAAATTTTAGGCCACCTTGACCTCTCTTCCAGAATCTAGGTTAATGTTATTTGTACTTGAATAGTGCCTGGAACAATTGCAGGTTAAGGGTTCATATATTATATCGAATCATATTGAGATCATTTATTTTTTCCACAGTTAGAAAAGCTGTTGGAAAAAGAATAAAAACTGTTTCTATAAATACCACCAGAGAAGACAGCTAAAATGAATACATGTTTTTTTTTTCCTTAAACCAAGATTTCAATCATTTTTATGTCTATTCCACAAGAGAAGCCCTAATATTATATAGCTCTTTCCACATTCTCAGGTGCTATAATATTATCTTCTTGATGCACATGCCCAGCTTCTATTAAATACTAATGGTTATTCCACACATACATCCTGAGGACATGGTAGCCCTGAGCAGCTTTTACTCCACAGATAGGAATATAGGATGTGCTTTCTTGATGTGCTGTAGCCGTGCATTAAAATGGGTTATATTTCCTTTAAATGTACCTCATGAAAACAGACTGGCCTGCCCTCAAATTATAAGGATGGGAAACAAGGATATGGTCTTCAAATCATCACCAATTGAAATTTGTTTAGGAATAGATGAGAATAGTTGATTAATCCCCCTATAAGTGTGTCTCCATACATCTCTGTTATGATACATCCCACTTCTCTTTTGTATGTGACAATATGGTTATATACTTCTGCCTAGCCTTGTGATCCAATGGGTGCATATGAAAGCACATTAATTTATAAAGTCTAAGTAATAATATCTCTGAAGTTCCATTCTACTCCTCTTCCATGTCTTCTAACTGTAGTAAATCTCCCCAATACTTCCACAGTAGTTTCTGGAAATGGCCAGAAAGGTGAAAATCCAAAATAAATCACCTTGTAAACAAAAATCACCATGCTGTGTCTGTCATATTCTTGCTTTTTGATCTGATCTCTATTATCCATGTTCATATCCTAGATATTTTAAAGGTGCCTCTCTAATACCTTAGAGAGCATAGCAGTATCCAATTCCCTAATGTTTTGTGGTTACCATTTTGGGGGTTCTAATGGAATCATGTGAACCATAGGCAAAGTGCAGAAAATAGCACTTTCCACCTGGACCATAAAAAACATTATTTATATTCAAATTTGCTCGAGTCCAACAACAAAAACATTTCTCAAGCTGTGAGTCCCCACTATTCTAAAGGTGAGGATGTGAACCAATTCATGAACACTGACTGACATGCTGTATTATCTGCTTTCACTTTCATCCCTCTCTCCCTAGGCCTCATGCTCAAACCAAACTCTTCTCTCCTTCAAAAGTCATTAAGCCATGTCCTATCGGATTAGCAGATACCAATAGAGAAAAAGTTTTATCAGTCAGTGTTTGAACTAACTAACATAAGTAATTTTAGAGTAAGGCTCAGCATGCCCAAGGCCCTAGTTTGATCTCACACACAATATTTTAACTAAAGCTTCAATTTTCCAATATAAGAAAAGATTGTCTAAATAGTGGAGTGATTTCTTGCCCCCAAGACAAAATTGTAAAGTTCCTTAATTCTATCTATCTCCATCTCCCTCAGATGCTACCCATCATCCTCTTTCCCACCACCCACATATGTACATGAACTTGTGTGGTGAGCACACACATACACACACACACACACTCACACACACACACACAGAGTTTATTTAGCATATAACTGAGAATGGTTCATCGTGGACCTCCAAGTTTCACTGGGTCACTACTATATTGATTGAAAGGAGTGGTTAATTTCCACTCTAGTTTGCTGTATCCCAAGAGCATTCTACCATGTGATGCATGGTTTTAAAACCTTTTTCACTGTTGTGACTAAAGGATCTGATCAGAACAACTGTAGAGAAGGAAGAGTTTATCTGAGGGCTCACTGTTTCAGATGTCTTAGTCCATAGAAGGAGAGCTTTATTCCTCAGGGCTGGAGGTGAGGCTGAACATCATGGCTGGAGCGGATGGCAGAGAGAAGCAGCTACTATCATGATGATCTCCCTCTAGAAAGACTCCACTCTCCAGATACAAATATATACCCAAAACCACACCCCAACTCCCATCTCCTCCAGCCACATCCTACCACTTCAGTTACCATTCAGTTAATTCTTATCAGGGGATTAAATCACTGATTAGGTTAAGACTCTTAGAACCCAATCATTTCTTCTTTGAACCTTCCTGCATTGTCTCACACGTAAGCTTTTGGGGGACACCTCACATCCAAACCATAACCGTTACCATGACACTTAAAAACCTCTTCCCAAATAGAATGAATTTTATATATATTCTATATAATTATTTCTAGCATCTTTTTAGTCATATGAGAGAGGAAATCAATTACAATTATAAAAATAGGTTATTAGTGAAGAAACAACCTACTGTTTTCAGAGTTCCAAACACAAACAGATTCAGAAGCAATCATATATATTCATAAAGAAATTTTACACAGGTGTTCATAAAAAAAGACTTAAGGGCTTTGAAGGGAAGTGGAGCAAAATATTTTAGATATCATCTATAATGTAGAACACTTATATTTTTATATTGGTCTTAAAACATTATCTTAACCTGAAGAACATTTTGTGCCTACAAAGTTGTAAATCATAAATTACAGTCATATTGAATGACAGAACGTAAAATAGGTTTTCCTTCCAGAGGGAAAAATGTTATTTTATACAATTTTATATAGTTATAAAACATAAAAACCTTCCTTTATCTTT